TGTCACAAGGCCATGCTAAGAATTGGCTTGCCTGAATGTGACTCTGTCAGGGCACCAGCCCATTGCTTGGTCAAGAGACATGACTAAGCCTTTATGACATGGAAGTAGCTGGTATACCTTGGCATGTGCTGGAACCTGCTGGAAGGATTGGATGGTCAGGTGACCTGCTGTGCATGGCTGTGCATGACCTCATATGACCTCATCCTTGGTCATATGACCTGATCACCTGACTAGGCTGAGTAAGCAAGATGTTCTAGCAGGTTCCACCACAGAGGTATAAATATAAGGCCTACTCTGCCTGGGGACTGTCTCTTCAGACTTGGTCTCTTGGGATCATCCACAGGTACCTATACTGTAGATAGGTCTTAGTCATCAGGTCTACTCCACTTCCTTGTTGCCTGCTTAGACTCTTGGCACTCTTAGGTGAGCAGACTTAGTCAGCCTGTGTTGCCCTAACAGACTCCCTGTTCTGAGAGTTGAGGCCTGCTGACTTGAAGGGGATGGCCCTGGGTCAACTGCAAGAAGTGCTCAGGTCAGGATGTGCTTGTTTGCCCTGGTACTTTCAGATTGGTGTGCAGTTTGTGAGTGAGAGCCAGAACAGGGATGCAGGAGAAGAGGGATTGGATGAAGCAAGTGAGCAGCTCCCAACTTTCTGCTTCTATTGTCTCATCTGTTCTCCAGTTGATTGAATCACATGGTGGAGAGCAAAAGCAAAGGTCAAGCATTGGGAGGAAGAGGAGGAATTGCTGCAGGAAGAGATGAAATGATCATTGGCATTTCATGACTTCTGGGCAATGCATTGGGAGTGTGTGGCAGCAAAACTTGCTGCCAATGATGAAGTGGAGGCAGGACATTGAGCATATGCTTTTAAGCAAGGTGCTGCCTTCAAGAGGCTAAAGGAGGATGGTTTGAAGCTGCAGAGTTTGCACATGTGGAAATAGTGGGAGAATCTATGTTCTGGTAAGCTTCCAATGGTCAATCACTTTGAAGAAGACTGACCAGTAAGTCTTTTTAAGCAGTCCGCACCTCCATCAGTAAACTATTCAAGAGCTGCAGGAATTACAGCTGGGTGTTCAAGCCACCCCAGATGTTCAGCTGTCCCCAGATGTTCAGCCATTGTCTTCTGCTTTATGAATCAAACCAACCAAATCATGACCAACTGTCATCCTTCATTGAAATGCCTGCCCATCACTCTTTGCTCTTCAAAGTGGATAGCATTCTGTTTTCCTCCCTCATTGCTCCCACTCCTGCTCTGAACAATAGCTTGCAAGGTGCAGTATTTGAGTTCAAGCTGCATGGCAGTCCAGACCACACTCTCCTCAACTCACTTTCTTCCCCACACACCTCTTACTCTATCCTCTATTCTTCTTCTTGCTCATTATGGATCCTCTGCCCAACTCTTTCAACGATGGCTCACATGGCAAAGGCAAGCATTCCAGGATGACTTTGTCTTGCAAGCACATTTGGAATGCTGTTGAAAACAATGGTGCATCCTACTTACTGTGACTGCCTAACACTCCCTCATGCTCTCTGATGCTGACCCAGATATTGTTGCAGCACATATGGCTTATCAAGTCAGACTTGATGCCAATATGAGATTCTATCATCCTCCTGGCTACAATAATTTCTCATCTGCTCCAATCCCAGCCATGCAAGCTCCACCCACAATTGTCCCTCCTGCCACAATGGTTCTTCCCTCAAACATTGCTCCAGTCATATCCTACAAACCCCCTTCTGTTCTCATCAATGCTCATCCCTTGACAATGATGTCTGCCACCCCAGTTGTTGTCAATGTCTACCAGATTCAAGGTGACATGATCCTGACACAGACCACAATGAGGTCTCACAATAACATTTGCTTGAACAACACCAATACAAACAACAGCCGTGATCAACACACCGAAAACAACAATATGACCGGTGGATTTGACTGGTGGGGATTGGTAAAGAAAGCGATGTTTTGCATGTCTGGAAACGGTTTTTTGTGAGTCATATTTGCATTAAACTTCGAATTTATTTGACGGGAGAACAGTTAGCTAATGGTCATGCTTTTACGGATGGAAGAGTACAGTAGTGTAGTATCTGAACTGTACGTTTGTATTCAATCGCTAATATCGTGCCGGCATTGACTTTTCCACAGGTTGTACAATTCATTATGGTCGAAATGTTTCACAAATTCATTCATTCCGATTCTACTCTGAGTGTTACGTTCAATCTTACTCTCACCTGTATGCGCCCTTCGACGGTGTAACAGTACAGCGACCTCGATGAATGGTCGATCTGGATCTACTCCGGTGTACAGCTCTTTCATCGACTCAGATCACCCCGAACGACTGAAATAACTGCGATCCCTAATACTGTCATCAGCAGCCGTCTGTGATTTGCGGCATGAGCTGTGGTCTCACCGGCAATCTCGGGATTCGCGGGGAGCAAGCAGGTCGAGTTCATATTGGCCAGACGTGCCCTCGAAAGGTTTGAGCAGGACATAATACACCAATTCGGGAGCTATGGGGGAATTGTCTGCGGCGAGGCGCCACCATCTTGATATCGATGCAGGTGCTTGAGAAATCAAGGTCCTTTCAAACCAGGATCGTAAGTCACCTGCGAGACGATGATAATTCAGCCCAACTGCTTGCGGACCGCGTGAGTCGCTGGATTAGGACAACCAGCAATCACGATGTCAGTCACGCAGATGGAAATATTGTCAAGCGCACATTCTGGTCTCCTATCTCTTTCTAAATGTGGCAGTGATGAGCTGGAACAACGCGCCATAGTACTAGGCATACGGACATTGTCCCTTCACGCCATGATGTTATAACATCCAGTTCGATATTACGGAAATGAGTCAAATCAATGGGGAGTTGTTGATGATTTGAAATCTGCCCAGCCAACGTTTACATCAGCTGTGAGGCTGACAGCCCAAATCAGGAAGGTGTCACACCATACCGTGGGAGCACGCCTTCCCGCACGGTCACGCCCCACATGAAGCACCTCATACATAAACCCACTCTCGCTCCTCCTGCTCGCTGCACTCATCCTGCACTTTTAAGCCGGTCTATTGCATTTCAGTCACAAAGAAGAACATTCACAATGTCGGCAGAGAAGAAAGATATCACCAGCTGGGCGGCGAAGGACGGACAGTTCAAGCGACAGGCATCAACTTTCCGCGACGAGATCAAGAAGGGAGGGCAGTTCGAGCCTGAAAAGGGTGCGCATGTGCATATACCCAGCTTGGAATTGCATTTGCTGACGGAGCGCAGGCCGCTATCATCTCTACGTCTCGTATGCATGCCCTTGGGCTCATCGGACGTTGATCGTTCGCGCGCTCAAAGGACTGGAGGACATCCTCCCCGTCTCTGTTGTCTCACCACACATGGGTCAAGATGGTTGGCCATTTGCCTCGGCGGACGCGTTCCCCGGTGCGGACAGCGACCCAAACGAGAACGCGAAGCATGTCAAGGACCTGTACTTCGTCGCCCAGCCCGACTACAACATGCGCTTTACCGTACCCGTGCTGTGGGACAAGAAGCTCCGGACGGTGGTGAACAACGAAAGTAGCGAGATCATCAGGAACTTCAACACTGCCTTTAACGAGTTCTTGCCGAAGGAGAAGGCAGAGTTGGATTATTATCCTCAGGAATTGAGGAAGGAGATCGACGAGCTCAACGACTGGGTGTACAACACCGTCAACAGTGCGTCAATGAATCCCCTCCTTCCATTATTGCATTTCTGATCCGCATGCATAGATGGTGTATACAAATGCGGCTTCGCGACCACGCCAGAGGCATATGAGTCCAACGTTGGTCCGCTCTTCCAGTCCCTCGACCGGCTAGAAGGTATTCTCGAAAAGTCTGGTTCCGACTACCTCATCGGCAACCGCCTGACAGAAGCCGACATCCGCCTGTACACCACTTTGGTGCGGTTCGACCCTGTCTACGTCGGCCACTTCAAGTGCAACATCGGTACAATTCGGCACAACTATCCGCATCTGAATCGATGGATGAAGAACTTGTACTGGAAGAACGACGCGTTCAAGGGAACGACGAACTTTGAACATATCAAGACGCATTACTACTGGAGTCATACGCAGGCGAGTTCTTGATGCGGAAGGTGTTCTTGGGTTTGCTGACGGGGTCTGGACAGATTAACCCCACGAGGATCGTGCCCGTTGGGCCGAAGCCTAATATCGAGCCCCTGTGAACATTGAACAAAAATGATATTATTGTACGAGTACATGGTTCGAGGAAACATATGACATATGTGGACAAACAGTCAGATCGTTCCGGAAGACTGTACGAAAGGAATCAATGAAATTGGGGTGGCCTTGTTATTGTCGCGGCTTATATGCGTCTTCAGTGCTCTGGCTCGGGTTTCGACGACACCTGAGGCCCTCTCTGGATAAGTGCCTTTCACCTACGACTCCTTCCTCCAACCACTGCCCCAGCCTTTTCAGTGAGAGATTGGTCTATCCCCAGACGATTCGAATCTTGCCACCACTGTCAATCTTGATATCGCAGTGAAAGTTCTTCAACCTGCGCATATAGCCAATGGAAGCACCATTTCAACCTCTGACCATGATGAACAGTACGCTATCACTCGCTCCTTATATCTCCGCATATCTAACTACACAGAGGGAGTGGGATGTACGAACGCGACTTCATGAATACGTAAGACGCATTTGAGTCCAACGCCATCCCGCGCTTCTAGTTGCTCGACCAGCTCCAACCCCTCTTCCAGAAGTCCGGCTAGGATCGCCTCGTGGGGAACGGCCTGAGAGGAGCCGACATCCGTTTGTACACGAACTTGATGAAGCTACAGTACATGACAAGAAAATATACGGTATAGGTAGGAAAGCAAAACAGAGAGTCGCGAGTCAGTACGTATACGTGGAAGGAATACATGGAATTTGGGTGATCTTGCTATGATGGTTGCTCGCGGGCGTCTCCTGCAGTAAACTGGCTTTCCAAGAGCTCGACTTCCTCCAACTCCCTGGACTCTTGCTTGATGCAACTCTCTCTTTCTCCGTTCCCTTCCTCTTGCGCCATTTCGCCTCCTCTCTTGTCTGAGGTCCTGTTCTCTTGTTGCATTGCAGTTTTCTTTCCTCCTCTGAGTGTAGCCAAGGTCTTGGCAGCAGGTTGGGCTTTGGCGCGGGCTGCGGGGGCAGCCGCAGCAGCAACAGTTGTAGCAGTAGCAGTAGCAGTAGCAGCCGCAACGATCTGGTATACTCTGCCAGTATTGCGACCCATGGAGTGATAGGCTGCGATAGAAAATGTAAGAGAAATTAATGATGCCGTCCATACAACAAACTCGGTGTCTCGGAAATGCACTGCCATCGGGACTTTTGGGTTTATCGCCTCCATCAGCTTCTCCCCAACTTCAATGGCTTCGCATCTGTCCACCCTAACTTACACCTTGAGCTTTCGGGAGCGTCACTCGACTCTATCTTAACTGCTCTTTGTCGAACTACCAACCCTGTTAGCCCTTTCCGAGTCCTCAGGTTCATGGCTCGCCTTCCTCTCCCTGCCCCTCCTTCGCAGCATACCCGCCTGATGAGAGATACCTGTGGGTCCCTGGGTACTGGAAGGGGTGGTGGTCGGGGTGCTTCCAATGCCTGAAATGGAAGATTGCGAGTGAGAGATTCCAGAAGGGTTCAAGGTACCGCTGCGAGCGCCTCTCGCACCTGCTGCACCTCCGCTTCGAAAGAAAGCGAAGTGTGCATAAGCGCCTGCACCAGCAATAGCGGCTGCCGCTGAAATGGAAGGGGTGCTCTCATAGGTGATGACCCTTGGCGTTGTGTGAGGATGGGGAAAAGGAAAGGGCAGATCACGGCTTGTGCGAGGGTGGGAAGGAGTTAAGATACCTAAGGTCAGAGAAGGATGGGAAGGGTGGGGAATGGAGGATACCAGATTCAAGGCGGTCACGGCAAGAGATGCCGTACAATCAATGCGTGGATGTGGGAGGAAAAGTGCACGATCAAGCGTCAGAAGGGAAGCTGCGTAGACGCTCAGTTGGGGGCTCATTTTGAAATAATTAGATAAAATACTAACCAGGATACTAGACCACCATGCTACTTAAGGTGCACAACACACCCAGAGCAACCAGTAAATGGGACACATATTCCGGAGAGTAAGAGAGAGAGCTGTCCGCAGGTATTTAATGACAACCAGCTCGTCTTCTGTGCTGTTCTCACCCGAAGCACCTGATACCGTGATCACAACATTCGTCTCCCCAGACTGCTCGGCAGCACGACCCAGTCCCTCCGTCTGGCTCTCATGCTCCTCCAAACCAAAGCCATGGATATGCATATCCTTCTCCGATGGTTCAGCGTCCTCCCGATTGAGGGGCTTCCTCTGTTGTTTTTGAATTCTGTCCATCATGGATATATCCAACCTTTGGACGTGAGGTCAAGTCGCTTTGTTCTTTCGGCTGTTCCTTGCTCAGTTCAGTTGAGAAGTCGAGAAAACCGCGTGATCTGCGAGAATTTTAGAGAGGATGAGGAGGATGGAGGTGATCCCGGCATCGGCCGAGTTGGCGCTGAGGCTCTGAAGAAAGCTAAAGCTGAAGTCCGGTTCCTAGAGAACGTTGGGGTGTTCCACACTTGTCATGAAAGAACTAGTGAGGAACCAAGGTACGACTGACTTACATATATAGTCTCCGCGCTTCTCCGGGTTTCGAGTCACGCTGCTCATCCAGAGGTTTGGAAACCATCGTTCCCATCTAGCTCAGCGAATAGGAAGTGCAGGATACATATCCCCGCGGAGAAACCATACGTCGAGTCATTTTCGGGAGGGTGGTTGGATACTCGTAGAATGTCCGTAATTTCGATGGATCACAGTCTCGTATGCATGATGACCAGGCATTGCAGCCTGGGTGAGTTGGATGTAGTGCTATACCGGTTCGATTCGATTCAATCAGGTTCTATCGGGGTCGTATCCAAGTCGTACAATGGGTTCGCTGCAGCTCAGCTCCAGTCAGTGACTCGGAGGGCTATTGCGCTCGAGTCTCTCTCTCCATCCGTGGCACCGCACGCCAGCTCTCCCGGCCCCGCCATCTTCACATCTCTCTCAACTTAACCAACGCCTCCACACTCACGCTCCCTCTCCACCCCTATCCCTCCTGCTCTTAGTCGGGCTTCCCGCGCTTCCAGTCCCTGCAGAATTCTCTCGCTGATGAGTAGGTCTCCTCTCCCTCATCCTTCTTCCCGGTATCCCTGGCACCGTCGGGGGACTCTGGAGACCCATGAGAGCAGGGTTGTTAGAAGGAGTTGGAGAAGCGGTGCTCCCTATGCCTGACATTGAGGATTGAACGTTGGAGAGCGGAGGTACAGCAGGGTTCCAGATGCTACCCGGGGTACCCGTGCGTGCTGTACCTCCGCCTCGCGCGAGCGCTGAATGGGCGTAGGCACCGGCAGCAGCAGCGGCAGCGAGGGAACTTGAGCCACCGTACTCGGCTGACCAAGCTTGTGCGTTTGGTGGGTGGTCAAGGGAGTGCATGGTGCCACTGGTACGGCCATGAGAGTGGGTGGGGATACCCATTGACCTCACGGCAGGTGGGGGCAGCGCGCCCGAGCCGGGGTAGGGAGGATAGGCGCTGTCATCCAGTCAGTGCCTAAACTTGGAGCAGAAACAAAAAGTGTACGGATATGCTGGGTAGGCTGGGTAGGGGAGGTTGCGGAGATGTTCTGGCAGCTCGTGTCGGGGTGGATAGGCAGGATAGGCGGGGTACTACAACACCGCAGAACCCGTCACCGTTTGAACATTTGTATCTCGAAGAACATGGGAAACGTACAGGAGGATATTCAGGGAACGCCCACTCCTCTTCCTCATCGTCTGTGCTTTCTTCTCTTCTCAGGTGAGACGCTGCTGGTACAGTCCTTTGTGGTGCCCCTGCGAGCCTCGTCCCCCCTCCCGCGTTGGCCCCAGGTACACCAGCCAACCCATTTCCTTGAGCGCTGCCTCTCCAGCCAGCCCAGCCTCCATCCTGACCTGGTGTTCCTGGCCTGCCCCCCTGGGAGAAACCACCAGGCACTATAGCAGGAGAATGCTCATACGCTCTCGCCCCTTGCTCTACCGCCTCCCACGCTCCCTCGCTGCCGATTAACTGCGATGCTAGGCTCTCGAGCGTAGGTTCTCCAAAGGCATTGGGCGTTGCCATGCTGATTTAAGAATTTGAGGGGAATCAGTTGGTTGCAGGATAGAAAGTGAGGCTTTGTCAAATGCTGATGTCAGACGACAATTTCTGGCGTGCTGTCAGGGAAGCAACGCCTCGTTGTAGTTGACAATGCACACCGGTCACCTGATCACATACTACTCTTTTCCTGTGCCCCAAACTCCGATTTCATAACAGCCTTGAAGCAGAACAACGTTCGGCGTTACTGATGAGGGTGAGGAAGGATGTTAGAAAAAGGGTAAACACCCCAATGTCCCGGATCGGATAAATTTTCAGCGACCCAAGGGAAACAGGCGAAGATTGCAGCGTTTCTTCCATTCGACGATCTTTATTAGATTAGCGATCGAAAAGATTCCCTAGGTAGGCTAGTATTAAGTTTATGATTGAGGTCGTGAGAGGAAAGAGTTTGGGTAAAGGGGCGAAAAGTGAGAGGCAAGTTGTACGTCACGTGCGCGTCAAAGGAGAGTGAGCTAACCAGTGATAGTCCGCACCTCAAAGGACGAATAGCTGGGGTCCCCTCTCTGCTTCCCCTCATTCAATTCATCCCTCTGGTCCCCTTCCTGTCTCTGCACGGGCCCCTCTTGCCTCCCCCAAACTTTGATGTTGATGCTCGTAGTATATGACTGCTGGGCCGCAGCGGCCGTAACTGAGATGGGAGGTATGCTAGTGACATAGTCAGCAAAGGCAGAGGAGGAGAGGGAGAGAAGCCAACTGCTGCAGTTGCACCGGCTGGCTGATAAACTGCACCTACAGCAAAACACTACGCGGGAATGTGAACAGTCGGTTGCACATAGTGATGAAAATGCAGCTCACCGGAGATCCTGGAGGCTGAATATCCTTGACACCCATCTAGTTCACAATGATTTCGGTGGCTATTTCCCTGTTCGACAACTGTATGGTTAGTCTTGCTACCCGATGACTGGGCTTACAGTTAGGTGGTATTCTTATTCTTCCTGTTCTTCTTCCTGAGTTCCTGTGGGGTCAACGAAGGGGCTTGCACTGACATATGTAGGTTGGGCTTCTTGCGGGACAAATAGGAGATGCTGGTAGCTGCTGAACAGATAGACAAAGGGTAGTGCGTAGGATAGAGCAGAGTTAAAGTCCATTGGCTGAGGTATGTTGGGGTATTTGTAGCTTGTAATGAAGAGAGATGATGACCGAGCTGATAGCATCACGTCAAATAAGCGCTATACCCAAACCTAGCACTCAAAACTCATCATCATATCTCATCGTTAAATAAGAACTCGTACTCGTACTCGTACTCGTAATCATAGTCTGCATGCAAGAAAAAGGGAATCGATGTACTCTGGGTGACTTGATGTAGGATTATGTTTCAGATTCGGGTCAATTTTCAGTTTAGTTTGGTCGGGTTCGGTTGGAATCGATCTGACTTGGTGTATAAGCCAGTTTTACTTCTGTTCAGCTCACGTTGCTCGATCGGTCGCTCCGGCTCGACCTCGTGACTCAAAATGCTCGAGTCTTTTGTCTTCATCTCTACAGAGCTCCTGAACCCCAACCCCTAGACGTGTTCACATCCCTCCCGTCAACCTCATCTCTCCCCCTCACCCCCCTCACCCGCCTGCAAGCCAATCTCACGCACCCACTCTCCCTTAGTTCCCGTCTCTGTCCCTCCTCTTCGTCGTCGAGCTCCCTGCCGAATTCCCCCTCTCTCTTCCCTTGCCCTTCCTCCCCGGCACACCAGGCGGACTCTGCAACCCCGGCACACCAGATACTTGGACCCCCGGACTGGGGAGGGCTTGCGTACTTGGTGTAGGCGGGGAGGTACTGCCTATTTCTCCTGAGCCTGAGCCTGAGGATTGGGACTGGGAGAGCTGTGGTACGGGGGGATTCCAGATGCTCCCTCCCACTGCAGCTCCTGCACCGCCAGCTGATCCTCCCGTGCCTACAGCTGCACCACGGGCAAAGGAGTGCGCGTAAGCACCTGCAGCTGCTGTTGCGGCAAGGGAAGAGGAAGGGTAAGGGACTTGCATCGGCGGAGGAGGCTGAGAGATTCCGCTTTGTGCTCGGACATGAGAGGGCTGGTGGCTGGGGATTCCCATCGCTTGCATCGGGCGAGGAGGAATGACTTTGGTGTTGGGATAGGCAGGGTAGGCGCTGGATGAAGGTTAGGGATGTGCAGGGGCATGGGGTGGGGAAGACTCACGGATAGGCAGGATATGCGGGGTACGGCAGGTGTTGGAGATGTTCTGGGAGTTCGCGGCGGGACGGATAGGCTGGGTAAGGTGGGTACTACATTAAGGGTAAAACAAAACGTCGTCAGTGGGGTTTATGCGGACAGAGGGGAGACGTACAGCGGGATACCGGGGAAAAGTCAACTCTTCCTCCTCATCTGTGCTCTCTTCCTTCCTAGCACGCGCAAGAGTCGCAGTCGTAGGCGCAGTCCTCTGCTGCACGCCTGACCTCGCACCTCCCACACCAGGTACATCTGACGCACTCTGACCGCCCCTCCGGCCTGCCCAACCACCTTCCTGCGTTTCCCCCTGCCCTTGCCACCCCCCACTCAAGGGAGAGGCAGGCACATGCTGATACCCCCTCGCACCCCGTTCCACCGCCTCTCGCGCTCCTTCAGCTCCAATCAGCTGGGCTGCCAAGCTCTCAAGTGTCGGTTCACCGAATGCGTTCCGTGTTGAGACTGGTGGCGGGGAGGTGTGTCGCTGCATTCGGGAGGCGCCGGGAGTGGTAGGTGAGAGGGGAGAGCGGGGGACAGGGGAGGGAGCGTGTGAGCGGCGTTCCATTTCAGCTTGAACTTGAGAGAGGGGGAAGAAGAGGGAGGGAAGATATACTCGAATGTGCTGGTGTGCCTAAAGAGCGGCGAAAAAAAGAGTGATGAGCTGTGACTCGATGCTGCACGTGTGACGCTCCCAACGAGACAAAAAGAACACGGAGAAACCCGAGTGTTGCAGCTAGCGTGGAATGATAGATCGCTGAATCTGGCAAGTGATTTGTCTCGATCGATGGGGCGCTGGAATGCAACTCAGATTTGGAAATAACGCGACACAGCCCCTTTCATGACGTGGATGAAACGCGTTACACGTGACAAAGGCACGTGATCTAGCACTCATTAAGGGTCCATGTCGGCAGACTGTTCAGTGACTGTTCTCCTAGTGAAAGGACTGGATGCGCAAAGTCATACAATCACCCCTCTCCTGGACCGCCTCACAGAGGTATATAATCTCAACTACCAGGACGTTACGACGGTCACTTTCAGGCATGAACAGCAGCAGGTCGGATAGCTCAGACAGCATCGTCTTTCTCGGAATGACGCGTGCTGTTCATCCTCCTAACACGTCCGGCGGCACAGTGGATCAGGCTACCGTTAAGAGGAAGGATATGGAGTGCGAGAGGAGTATGGAGATTTTGAGCGAGGAGCTGGAGAAGATGGGTCTCGATGCCGGAAGAGGTATCAAGGGGAATGGGAAGGGGAAGGGGAAGGACCTCCCGTATGCGTTCTTCTCACTTAGAGAAATAGTACTGACCGGGATAGCATACATCCTTTCTTCGCACCTCCAAAAGAAAGAGCAGAAAAAGAAGAGGAAATATCACGCACTGCGAGCAAGCCGTATGTCCCTCTCCCCCACCCTTTCCACTCTCGATCCTCTAACGCAGAACAGGATCCACCCCTTTTTCCGAACCCCCCGACCTGCACCAGTTAAACCCTCCAAATCAGCGCAACAGCGAAACATTCAGAGTGCGTCACATGCAGGTCAGGGACAGAAGCGTACGATCCAGACGAGTGCGAAGGCGAAGGGGGGGGAGATAGACGCGTTTTGTGAGGAAGCGAAGATGCCTGTCTCACCAGAGATGGAGAACGAGGGTGGAGGGAAGAGAAAAATTGAGGTGAAGCCGGTCAAGCCCGCTGCTGGACCGAGCACGGATGGAGAGAGCAGTACGGAAGTTGTAGGCGCTTCTACAAATGGAGAGAGAAACACGACTGTAACTACGGGCGCTCCTATCGACAGAGCACGCAGCTCGACAGCAAGAGAAGCGCCCCAAACCCTCGAAACCCCCTCACCCCTCCCGAGCTATTCCTACCTTCACGCCTCCCCTATTCCCACACGCGTGTTCACCTCATCACCGCACGAAATCAACACCCTCATCCCCCTCCTTTCCGCTCCCTTAGGGTTCGACATCGAGTGGCCCTTCGGGTTCCGTCGCGCACCTGGCGGGAAACCACAGAAATGGGAAGGGAGGACTGCGTTGATCCAGCTTGGGGATGGGAAGTTCTGCCTTTTGTTGAGGGTGGGGGGGATGAGAGTGCTGCCGGATGAGCTGAAGAAGGTTATCGAGGATCCGAAGCGGGCGAAGATGGGGGTCAACATTCGCCGTATGTCCCTTGTCTGCTCCAATTCGCAACAACAAGTACTAACATTATGGTATAGTGGACTTCCGCAAACTTGTGAGAGACTTCCCGGGGTTGAAACCAAGAAACGTCCTCGAGCTGTCCTACCTCGCCAAATCCGTCGACCCCCATCTTCCCCCCAATCGCACTCTCATCTCCCTCGCCCGCCTCACAGCTCGCTACCTGCATGCCCAGCTATCCAAGGACCCTAGAGTACGGTGCTCGGACTGGAATGGGAAGCTGGAGGAAGAACAATTGGAGTATGCGGCGAATGACGCCATGGCCTCGTGGGCTGTTGGAAAAGAGTTGATGGATCGAGCTAACGCGGAAGGGAGGGAGGTGGACTGGAGGAAGATCCGTGTGGACGAGGAGTGGGAGAAGGGAGAGCTGGGTGAGGGAGGGGCGATAGAGCGCGATTCGGGGAATCTGCCTGGGCGTGGAGAAGCGAAGCAATCCTCATCGAAGGAGCCACCCACGGTTGGAGCAGCTCCTACTCCTGCTTCGGTTACTCCCCCGATGGTTGACTCAGCGTCTAACGTCCCACAACCTCAGCCTGCTACCTCCATTAAACTCTCGAAGACAAAAACCACTCTCGCTGGAGAGCACATGACGACATCGGATACCAAAGCCTCGTCATGTACCAAGTCAGCCGCAATCGCATCACGGAATCCCGCTAGCACCAGTACCGACCCCACCCCACCCTCCATCCCTGCCATCCACGTCCGCGCCTGCCTCTTATGGCATGCCTCTCCCGCTCCCACCCTGGCCGAAATGCAGACCGCCCTCCGCCCCTCTCCTTCATCCCCTCCACTCTCACACGACCAAGCTGTGGAATATGTCATCCGTGCGCTTATAGCTGACCCGAGCCTACCCTGGGAGAAGGGAAGGATGAAGACACCTTTGAGCCAGGGGGCGACCCTGAGTGAGGAATGTAAACGTTGGTTGATTGAATGTGGAAGGGAGGTGCTGGAGGGATAGATATTGGAACAATGGAATCTCGGGCTGTGTAAGTATTACGCAGTTAAGCAGGGTGTAATGAGTAATGCCAAGATTTTGTATTAATAGCCCGATGGAGGGATAGATATGATCGGAAACGCATAAGGGGTTTGTGGACCTGACTGAAACGCGGTCGAAATAAGAAGAAAGGGCACATCTACCCCTGTGCTCTCCACAGAATACGAAGCTGGAAGACACGTTGCGTCGGCTGCATGATCACGTAACATGGATACCATTCACGAGTTCAACGACGACAACCGCATCGAGGAGGCGTCTTTGAGCGCTCAGGGTGCCATTGTCAGGACAAGGGAATGAAGTTCGTGATATATACATGTGGGGACATAGTGATCGACGACAACGATTCAATTGACACTTGGAGACGGATTTAAGAATCATCATGTTGCGGCACAATGGCTCCGCGCGCGTGGGAATAATAAGCAAAGAACAGCACTAGTGCTGAAGTGAATTCTTCGTTTGTGCCTTTACTTATAGAGCAGGCCTTCAGACCAGATGCCTAACTGTTGTTCATCCAATGATCCCAGCTGCTGCTCAGTTCGTCTCACCTCCGTAAGATGCGATGTACTCGCCCATTCCCAGCAATATTGACGTCGCATTGATTAGTCCGTTCAAAGGTGAACATATTGGATCGATCTTGCGTCCGCATGCCTTGATTGAGGCGCGAAAATCACATGACGCAGGCGAGCTATCGTCGGAGGCCCTGAAACAACTCGAGGACAGCTGCATCGCTAATGTGGTCAAGTTCCAGCGGGATCTCGGATTTCGGGCGGTCACGGATGGAGAGTACAGAAGACACATGTTCTTCAACGGGTTCTATGATAACCTTGAAGGTATCACGTATGTCCCTGAACCCAAGCTGGACATCTTCGCCGCATGTGGGTCGAAGTTGCCGGGCTCCTTCGTGCCCTTTTCCTGACATCCAAACGCAGATCTCCCCTACGTTGACAAAGTCCGTGCTAAAGGGTTCAGTCAGCCAACATACATTGCTACTGGGAAGATCAGACGCACCAAACCATGCTACGTGCCGTGGTTCGAGTACTTGGCGAAACAGGTCCCGGCTGAAGAGATCAAGCACGTCAAGATGAATATGGCTTCCCCCGAGTGTAAGTCGCTTCCTATTGGCTCATGAACGTGCCATTACAAGTTCACAGGGTATCACTTCCGGCACATGTCGCAACACGCGTACACGTCCGAAGCGTATGCATCCGACGACGAGTACTTTGCCGACATAGCGACGGCCTTTCGCGCTGAACTGGCAGACCTGTATGCCGCAGGTTGCAGGAATGTCCAAATCGACGGGCCCGTCTTAACCTTCTTCTGTTCGCCCGGCATAACCAGCAAGATGCGAGAGATGGGTCTGGATCCAGATTCGCTTCTTGATCGTTATATCGCGCTGTACAACGACTGCTTGAAAGATCGAAAGCCGGATATGAAGATCGGATGGCATCTCTGCAGGGGCAACTTCAAGGGCGGGATACATTATGCGGAAGGCGGGTATGACCCGATTGCCGAGAAGGTTTTCGGAAAGATTGATGTTGATGTCTTCTACTTGGAGTGTTCGCCCTCTTTTGTTATTGGGACTCGGTGAATCCGCTGACAAAGGGCAGATGATACTCCTCGTACCGGCACCTTCGATCCTCTGCGCTTCGTTCCAACAAACAAAGGAGTTGTCCTTGGTCTAATATCTTCTAAAGATCCTGAGCTGGAGGATCCGGACTATATAATAGCACGCATGAAAGAGGCTGCCGCAGCGATGGGTGACCTGGAGATGAAGAGGATCAGTGTCAGCCTTCAATGTGGGTTTGCAAGTCATTTTGAGGGGAATAATATTTCGTGGGAGGAGATGGAGGCAAAGGTTCGTCCTTCAGAGAACGGCTGCTTCGTCTTCCATGCTAACAGACACCTGATAGTTGAAATTGGTGATTCAGGTCGCGAAGAAGGTGTGGGGCACAATCTAGTTGGTGGGTGGTACGTCCGGGTCTCTAGTCCGGGTTGTAGATTTGTCTGTGTTAAGAAAGAACGTGAATGAAGTCAGTGAAAGTGACCACGTACCGCATGCTAAATCCTATGGCTTCCAGCAGTGAGATAGTTGGGAGTATAGGACAGCTGCTGACAACACAGAAAATGCACGAGTATCTGGCTAACAAGTCACAAAACAGGCACGGTACGAAGCAGACACGTGTTCCAGCCGCAAACATGCTAGGAGGTTGATGCAAATGTGTGGTGCCATTCATAGATGAGCAGTGAGTTCCGCCTAAGAGCGGCATAGATACAAATGCAGCCAATAAGTCAGGTGATCCGATAGCCCATCTAGTGCTTGGTCGGTTTTGCGCCTATTAAGAAGTGAGTCGCGAGTTCCACTACAAGCAGCAGGAGTATTGCGCACCATCCACAAACATATTCCTCGTAGCGCTGGGTAGAGTAGCGACTAGTCCGTCCAGATCCCGCCTCATCTTGACCTGACAACCAAGTCGGCTTGTGTCAGTCAGCCCGAACGCCATATCCAGCATGTCATTCTCGTCATCACTCGGCTCCTCGAGCTTGTCGTGATCCTCGGGTCGGAGGATGACGTGGCATGTTGAACATGCTATTGAACAATCGCAGGCACCTTCCAGGTCGATGTCGTGCTCGTGCGCGATCTCAAGCAGGTTGTCACCTTCGTTCACTTCGACTGTCTTGAGGAGTTTTCCCTTGGGATCCATGAATGTGACTTTGATTCTAACATGGCTCATTAGTAAATAGGTGATGGCATGCGTGGAATACGCACCCTGTACCAGGCTCTGGACGTGTGATGGTACCATGTCCAGAAACTTTTTTGATCAGGTCAGCGGCGGGGACAATGATGGCTCTGGATCATCAACGTACTAGAAGACGTATGTATTCTCCTTCGTGTGTTTGGAGAATACGTAGGGAGAGACAAAGATACTCTTGCCATCGGTGTTGAAGTCGACGAGGATAGATATCCGCGCTGTCGTCTGGTTCCTGATGGTACCGTTGATGGTGATGTCGATGTCGATGCGATACACCTCTTTGGGACACCCTTTGCCAATACATGCAACGGCCGTATCGCAGGCGCCGTCACTGCAATCACTCGTGTTAGCATAGACATGGTGGTCGGCATCGAACTCGCTGCTGTTGTCGGCGTTCTTGCTTCGTTGGATGACTTTGGGCGTACAAAGTTCGGCCGCCGTGCCGACCCTGGCTTCTGCACAGCCGCTCGGAGGGTTAACGGACTGCCGGTTCGCGCTGGTGTGTACTCTCCATTTTATAAGGCATCTCCTCCGTTGCCCTGACCGGCTTGAGCTGTGTGATTTTGTGTTACAATTCACTCGATATGCTTTGCTGACCTCTTCCCTGCTGTACAGCTTTACTGGAGCCGATCTAAGCACGTGCCTTCTAGGCGGGGAAAATGACTCGACAGAATTAGGCAGTGCACGCCTAAAACTGCAGGAGCTCATAACGCGGCACCGCTCCGCTACGCGTCTCGGACTTCTGGTCTTGACGATCAATACTACTGTGGCAATGGCAAGGTAGCGACTGGGATAGCTGGGTTCCATGTCAACGGAGAATATGAGCGTCCCGGGCTGGTATATAGAGCTATGGTGGCAAGCCCTCTGGTCTGCATCCAAACCTCCCATATCTTACACTCCACGGTAATTCCTTCTTTCTGCCGTCCATCATGCGTTCTGTACTATCTCTTGCCACCATCGCCCTTCTCGCCCGTTCCGCATATGGGATATCATGGGCGCTCACCCTGCCAAACGACAACAGCTGGGTACAGCTGGGCTACACGTACGTCCATCCTCTCTCATTCTAACCCCTCTAATCCCATGCAGTCTAACCG